CACCACAGCTCAAAGGCATCAATTCTCCTTCTATCCTCCCTGGTCATTGTCCAACTCTCTGATGCATAACAAGTGATTGCAACTGGATATGTTACAAAGTAGGAGTGCATTTCCTAAGGTTTCTTAACTATTTATGGAAGCAGATCACCAGGTACATATTCCATAGTGCCTCTGGGTAGGTTGCACCTGTAAATCTTTAGGTTAGTGACACAAGCATTCCCTACCCTGGGACTAAAAGAGTTTTAAAGAGACAATACGAAAAACAATTCTAAATTGAGAAACCAAACATTAGGATGGGCTCTGGTGGAAGAGTAGTGCATGTAATGTGGCTCCAGAGTGTCTGGAATCTTCTTGTAGGAATGAGATGTGGGAGTAGAGAGAGGCAAAAGCAGAGGAGAGGAACTCAAGGTGGTGATCCTGGGGTTTGGAGTTGTTTAAGTGTGCGGGATTGGATGTTAAAGTAAAATTTCAGTTCCTCTACCTAGCTACATTTCAGTTGTTCTATATCCAAATGTAAAGAGGCCTGCTGGTGAAGTGGGCTTCTAAGTAAAAGATAAAAGACTGACAATTCTTGATGTTGAGATTCAGTCCATATTGAAGGCTGTAGTCCTTGACCTTCTGCAGCAAGCACTACAGGTCATTCTCAGTTTCAGCAAGCAGGGCTGTGTCACCTGCATAACACAGAATGTTGATCTCCCTATGTGTACCTTTAAAATAAGCAGCTAAAAAAAAAAAAAAAAAACAGCTCTGGTGGCCTAGTAGCAAGAAGCTGTGCTACATCCCCCAAAATGCACTGTTTGAGGCTACCAGCTGCTCTGTGGGGGGAAGATGAAACTGTCTGCTCCTATTCTGGTTTACAACCTGAGAAACAAGATAAAGTAGTTCATGAGTCAGAATTAAAGGTTGTGAGGATAACCACACTATGTCTAGTAGGTTCTTATACTAATTTCCAAGGACGACTAGAACAAATTTACACTAATCATGTCACTTAAAACTGTAGAAATTCATTGCCTCACACTTCTATACGCTAGAAATCTAAAATCATGTGTTGGTAGTCTCAGTACTCCTTCAGAGACTTTAGGAGAGAACCTTTCTTTTACCTCTTCCAATGCTTTCGGTGCTCCTTGGCTTGTGATCTCATCTCTATTCTGCCTCCATGGTCACATTGTTTCCTCCAATTCTACCTGTGTCTACCTCACAAGAGGTTTTACCTCTAATTTTAAGGTGGTGGTTGTAGTTGTTGATCATGATGATGTGTACCACAGAGTCAGACTAGCCCATAGCTGACCCTCTAGCATGTTTTCAGAGGCAGTTAAGTGCACGGGCAGTGATTGTCTATCCTCCCACAGAGCAGCTGGTGGCCTCGAACAACATATTTTTGGGGTTTTAGCAGAGCTTCTTGCCACTAGGCTGCCAGAGTTGCTTATTTTAGAGGTACATATAAGTAGATCAACAATCTGTGTTATGCAGATGACACAACCCTGCTTTCTGGAACTGAGAATGACCAGCAAGCACTCTTGCTGCAGAAGGTCAAGGACTACAGCCTTCAATATGAACTGAATCTCAACATCAAGAAAACAAAGATTCTCACCACTGGGCTGTTTGAAAGCATTCTGATAGACAGTGAAGAGATTGAGATTGTTCACTGCTTTAGTTTGTTTGGCTCTACGATCAACACTCTTGGTACTAGCAGTCAGGAAATTAAAAGATGTATTGCATTGGGAAAGTCAGCTGTCAGGGACTGATCCAAAGTACTGAAGAGCAAGAATGTCAGTCTGGAGACTAAGGTGTGCTAGATTCAGGCCACAGTCTATGTAATTACTTGCTATGCATCCGAAAGCTGGACCATGTCTAGGTATGATAAAAGGAGAATTGCTGCCTTTGAGCTGTGGTGCCGGAGAGGAGTATTGAATATACTATGGCCTGTTAGAAGAACAAACAGATATGTCCTAGAGAGGGTGAAACCAGGATGCTCCTTGGAGGCAAGGATTCTGAAGCTTCGTCTGACATACTTTGGACATGTTGCAAGGAGGGACCATTTCTTGAAGAGGGACATCATGCTTCAGAGGGTGAAGGGACAGTGCAAGAGTGGAAGACCTTTGTTGAGATGGATTGATTCAGTGACTGGGGTAATGGAGGTGGCGTGTGGGAGACAGTAATACTGGCACAGGATAGAGCAGGGTTTAGGGCTGTTGTACCTAGAGTTGCTATGAGTTGCAAGCAACTTGATGACACAACAACAATAACAACATAGGAAGCTGTAGTAGCCTAGTGGCAATAAACTGCACTACAATTCCAAAAACACGAGGTCAGAGGCCATAGCCACTCTATAGGAGAAAGATGGATAATATCCTCCGTTAAATTTATTGCCTTTGAAAACCCACTGGAGGGCCACCTATGGGTTGGTTCCAACTCTATGGTACAGAACAAGAACAATGATTATATTTAGAGTGAGTCAGATTATAAACTAAACTCTTATTCTCAGTATCTAATTCAATCACATCTCTTGCCGTATAAGATAGTATTTACCAGTTTTTTAGAATAATAGTGGATACATCTTTTGGTTATTGTTCAGCACATTAGAGTGTTATATTAGATACAGATTCTTTCCATCATTGTACAAAGATTGGGTTTTGTTGCGATTTTTTTTGTTTGGTTGTTTTATACAATGTTAGTGTAGAGGAAAGTCATGAATAAACTCAAAACAGTAAATGGTCTGAAGTGAACTAGTGGCTGGTGAGTATACCACAAAAAAAGGGAAAATGGAATGAAGGCTGTAGTAATAAATGACAAAAGAATAGGATTTTTAAAACACAACAAAGCAAAACTTCTGGAGAGCAAGGCTGGTAAGAGTGTGTATCCTGGAGTTGGAAGCGACTCATAGCTTACACTTCACTGGAAATCTGGAAGTCACAAGGGAGGAAATTGTCCATCTTTCTGCTATAGAGGAACTGGTGCATTCAACCTTTAGCTTAGCAGCGCAACTCCTTACTACTAGGCCACCAGGGCTCCCTAACACATAAAGACGAGATTGTGTCTAACAGTGTTGTTGTGTACCATAGAGTCAGAACCAACCCGTAACTGACTCTCTGGCGGGCTTTCAGAGGCGGTTAATCGCACATGAGGAGATTGTCCATTCTTGTCCCACACTTCTATACGCTAGAAATCTAAAATCATGTGTTGGTAGTCTCAGTACTCCTTCAGAGACTTTAGGATTGCAGCGCAACTTCTTGCCACTAGGTCACCAGAGCTCTCTTACTGAGGGCTTATACTGTGAATGATGCACATGCATTAGATTCTCTCAAAGGGGTTTTGAGTATGTTAAGATATACTGAAGTGTCAAAATACTCTGGGCGAACTTGATGGTGTCTTGGGTAAAGTGAAAACAGAAGGAAAGCATCTAAGTGTACCCTCTTTTCAGAGATAGTTAAGAGTAGAGAAAGGGTACCTGTTCAGAAGTAGTTAAAAGCCACAATACGACCTCCTTGCTGCCTAGAAAGTGAGTGGAAAAGGAAGATGGGAAGTAACATGATCCAAAATAACAGGAAAACAAATATTATCTTTATCACATTCTCACAGTTCTCACTTCTGCAGGCACACACAAGCCCGCACTTACTGCAGTTTTGTGGGCCATGGGTACCTAATTGGCCAGGGTTCCAAAGTGCAGAAAATGTGGGAGGAACCGGCCAATCACCAAACAGGAGAGGGCTTACGTCTGCTCATGCGCAGTGCCTTCAGGGTGCCCGGAAGCACCAAGTTCGGTTGTGACAGGTACAGGAGCTCTTATTTGGAGATGGCCCAAACAGCCCGCTGGCTTGTGAAAAGGAGCTAATGAGTTGGAAATTCCAACGAGGTCTACACTGGCAAGCCTCTTCTAAGGCCCAGTATAGGGCAGCAGAGAACCCAAGCATGTGGCCTGGGGTTGGGATGAGAGAGGTGTAGGGGGGCAACGGAAGGAAAGGGCTGCTGTGCTCTATCCCTTATTGGGTGATTCATGTGGGCACATTGACTTCTTCCTTCCGCAGAGCAAAGTAACATGAGCTCAGTTATATGCCCAGCCATTCTGAGGAGCCTCCTGGTGGCCTGCAGTCTTGCCTCAGCATTCTTCCTTACAGGTGAGAGTCTGGGCAGTGAAATCCTGCCTGCATTCCCATCTAATCCCACCTCCTTGCTACCTAGACCTTCAGCCTCACCTTCTCCTGTGCTGTGTGCTCAGCGTGGTACCTATAGAGACTTAGGTCATTATGGTTCTGTCCAGGAGTACCCTTCAAAGCATTAGTTGTTTATGCTTGGTAAGAATAAGGAAACAGAAAAAAAAAAAAAAAGAATAAGGAAACAGGAGGAGACCAGAGTGTTAAGCAATCAAGAAAAAGAAAAGGTTCTTTATAA